AAAACTATGTGGTTTTGGTTTTTAATATATCTTGCTTGTTTGTGGTGAGAGAGAAACATAGTAAAGAAAATTGCTTATTTTAATTAAGAGAAGAAATAGAAGTCTTTGTAGTTCTTTACATTTATAGGGAAAAAAAATCTCACCAAATTAACACATCACTGTCTGTCTTGAAACAGCATGCTAAATTTTACCTCCTGCATAAGTCATATTCTGGAGAGAGACTTTTGAAGCAAAAGGTTTCATTACCCACTGCTACTCAGAAGACTCTGAGCAGCAGCTCTTACTGCATTTGCAGATTTCTAGAAATTGTTTCTGAATTTTATTTTTTTTTTTAAGTCTGAAAAAGTAGATCTTCCTAAGTGTAATTTTATAACACTCCTTCAAACATTGGTTCATGCTTACCAGGTATGTAAAACCAAAGGAAAGTAAAAATGACATTACCAATGTGGGCCTAAAATATTATCTGTGTGTATGCTGGACTCTGTACTCTGAACTTCCACAGTTAGTAGCTCAGATCAGCATGGCAAGGATGGCAAGACAAAAAAATTACTTGGATTATCTGATCTCACTCCTCTGGTGGAGATAACTAGAACTTTAGTATCCTGCAGTGACTGAGCACTCTGTACTGCCATTCTTATGCAAAAGTTTTGACAAAGTGAAGATGTAAGAAAAATCTTAAATATTCTGCATTGGCAAAATGATCCAGCTGCAACTACTGATGGTTTCATCAAAATTCATCCAGTGGAGCTGTGCACCTCTGGCTCTCCTGGTAGCATAAACTTGTTCTGGCGTAGGCATGACATACAATTAGACTTCTCCCCACACCACCAAGAATGTAAGTTGTAAAGTAAAAAACTCATCAGCATAAAACTAATTCCTATGAATTGTCTGAAAGAGACTCAACCCGAAAAACGTGTTTATACCAGATCATCACTCTGCCACAGCGTTTTTGATCTAGAACTATGAGTCTTAAAACTGACTTCAGTATATTGTTAATACATACCTTCAATCACACATATATAAAAGTAAATAATAGTAGCTTTCCCATCTCAGATATTTTGTGAATAAATACATTGGTATGGAATGTCATAAATGTCCTCTGTATAAACATCATCATCAATCCCATTGAATAGTGATTATACAAAAAAGAAAAATGTGTTTGACTACCCCTAAAGCTTCAGATTTTCTGCAGTTACCTCACTAGCTTGTATGCTATAAGCAGCATTACATGGAATTCAGTATGGAATTTTATCTGGGGAAGGGATAATGTTCTTTACAATAGTTAGATTTGTGCTGGAAACAAGTGTTGATAACTCAGGGATGTTTTTGTTACCACGGAGCAGCGTTTAGACAGCATCAAGACCTTTATTGCTCCTCAGGGGACCCCACCAACAGGGTGCACAAGAAGCTAGGAGGGGACACAGTTGGGACCACTGACCCAAGGGATTCAATATACCATGGTGTCACGCTTGGCTTATAAAGCCGGGGGAAGAAGGGGGAAGGACCTGGGATATTGAGTGTGATGGTGTTTGTCTTCCCAAGTCAGTGTTACACCTGACTAAGCCCTGTTTTTCTGGGATTGTTTAACACTTGTCTGCCTATGGGAAATGAGTGCATTTCTTGTCTTGCTTTGCTTGCATGCATGGCTTTTGCTTTACCTATGAGACTGTCCTTACCTCAAAGTGTTCTTACTTTTACTTTTCTGGTTCTGTCCCCCCTCCTACCCCAAGGGACAGTGAGTGAGTTGCACTAGCTGGACATAAACCATGATGAGGGCAATCTACTAAAATGATAATTGTAGAAAATTAGATTGTAACAAGCAATCTAGTACCACAACTAGTGGCAACTCCAGTCCCATCTGTCTCATTTTTGTACACCTGCACATAGCTGGCAGACCCCAGGGCACTATGAGGAGACCCTGGGAGTGTGAGAAGAAAAACATGGTAAATGAGATACATTACTTGTCATTTACTGAGAGTTTACTTATATCATATAGTACCGTTAGAGAGTATATGCAGGAGTGGAAAAAAAATGTTTGGGTACTTGTTTGGTTCAGCACAAAGAAGAAAGAAGACATTTTCTCCTGCTTTAGGATGCTTTTTCGAAAGTAGAGTAGTCAGGGGGTCTGCTCACTCTTGGAACAGGGCCTGGGACTGGGACTCAGTGTTCCCTGTTCGTCATATATAACCAGTGTCACCACTATCTGCAGTTCTTAAAAATTCCTCTGCAAGAGTTCTGTAAGACAGTTTAGTCCTGCCCACCGAGGTGAAATATAATATGAAGTGTCTCGGTCCCTCTGCGAGCCTCTCAGGAGCCCTGCGCCAGTCCCGAGTCGGCAGACACCGGGGGGCAGCCCCGACCCAGCCGACAGCGGGGAGACACTGTCTGTGTGTGCCCCGAGGGTGCTGAGGGTACCTGGGCTGGCAGGGAGACACTCTCTGTGTGTGCCCCGAGGGTGCTGAGGGTACCTGGGCTGACAGCAGGGAGACACTCTCTGTGTGTGCCCCGAGGGTACTGAGGGCACCTGGGCTGGCAGGGAGACACTCTCTGTGTGTGCCCCGAGGGTACTGAGGGCACCTGGGCTGGCGGGGAGACACTGTGTGTGCCCCGAGGGTGCTGAGGGCACCTGGGCTGGCGGGGAGACACTCTCTGTGCCCTGAGGGTGGGCTGGCCGCCTGTGCAGCACAAGAGACACCAGAGACATCAGTGGAAGAGAAAGGGCCGACTCTTAGCAGGGGTCAATCCAAGGTTTTATTAGGATCCCAAAGGAGCTCCTGCACCTCAGGGCCCTCCTGCCGAGAGCCCCGGGAGATGTGCCAAGGTCACATTTAAAGGGAGGTGGAAACCAAAAGTAGATAACATTTTACCAACCAATAAGTGACCCTAAGGGATGGGTACTGGGGGATAGACATATAGGACAGCGTATGGGGCAAGGCTTGGGGGGCTGACCCCTGGCCTCTGGCTAATCACTCGACGACTTGGACCAAAACTTCTGGATGGAGGGATGGGATGCTGAGTGATTGACAGAGAGCCAGGGTGGGGGTTTGGGGATGATGTCATCCCGGGAGAGGGATAACACAGGTAAAGGGAGGGGGGTGCAGTTTGGGATAAACCATTTGGGAAAAATAAGGGGATACAAAACAAAACTACTTCAAAATATTACAAAGTATAAAAACACACTACAACAATGAAGCAGTTTACTTTAAAAATATGAAAGGAAATTTTGAGAAGTCTTGATAGTATTAGATTATTCTCATCTTCCATTTTTCTATTTGAAGCTAGTTAAAGCTGCAGATTCTGAATACATTAAACAAAATGCCAACCACTCTAAAGATTCAGAGCTGAGCCAGATGGCACATCTGACTGCAGTGTATATGAGCCACTGTACTCCTACTGCTGTGAAAAGCAGAAACTGAAGCATCAGTGGATGAAGCTAGTTTACCAGGAATCTCTCTTGCGGCTCTGACCTAGGGCAGCCACAGTCTCTAAGTGGTGCGACTGTTGCACATAGGTTTGAGTAAACATGTGACAAAGTTGTTTTATAAATATCATGGAAGATAAAAACTGGAGTGAAGTAAGGACCTTAAACAAAATGGAAGAAAAATGGAAGCAGAACATTGAAATGCGGTGTTATTTCTTCTTTTAACACACACGGGCACACAATAGTTCCTTCTGCACTTGGAATTCAATGTGCATGAGTCAGCCTGTCCGATATCAGCAATTACAGCTATAAATGCAGAGCTATTATGCACTCATGTTGTGTAGCTTGGGAGTAGTCCATTCTACCAGGAACAAAAAGGTCTTGAGCAGCTTACGGTTCTTAACCATTCTCAAGCAGCAAGCAGGCAGTCAACTGTGCAGCCTTGCTTCACACAGCAGGAATTCAGCTCCAGCACTCTGCTCCCTGAGAAGGGCCCAGGGCCCTGTAGGAGTGACATTTTCTTGCATGCAGCAGTGTTGCAGATGAAGCCCCAGTAACCTCCCATTTTCATCAGCAGGAAATCTTTGCACATTTTTTCTCACAGCTTCCTTTCCACAGTCATTCATTTACACTGATTTATAGCCTTCCTCACTGTCCTCCTCAATTCTTCCCCCCCCCCCCCCAGTTTTTTCCTGAGGCCTGAAAAACTTAATATGGAAAGTACATGTTGGGGGAACTAACAATCTGGAATTTTTGCATTCTCTGCATGGATAGGAATGACCAGGTGGATGATGCCAGTGGTCCTGATCAGGGCGCATGTCTTCTGGTGGCTGGCCCAGAAAGCAGTTTTATATGAGACACAGAATTTGGAGCTCAAATGTGACATGATGAGGAGAAACAAAATGAGAGGCAAGGAAGGTGACCTGCTCCTCTGATCCTGACCTCTGGTCCAGGCCGAAAGGCTCAGCCCTGAACAGGGGTTGAGAACAGGGGCTAAGACATGCTGAGAAAGCTCGAGCTGCTCAGCCTGCAAGAGAGAAGGTTGCATGGAGATTCCATAGCAACCTTCCAGTATCTGAAGGGGGCCTTCAGGGAAGCTGGAGATGAACTCTTGGTCATGAAGAGAGAGCTAAGACGAAGACTAATGAGTACAAATTGAAAGAGAGGAAATTTAGTCAGGGAGAAACTTCTTAGTGTGAGCAGTGGAGCCAGAGCCCCCTGTCACAAAGAGGCCAACAGGGGCCGTCACTCTCGGTGCAGCACCGCAGCCTCGCACGGCCTCAGAGCGGCGCGCAGCCCTCACAGCCCCTCCAAACGCGTCTCCCGCGGACCTGGGACCACAGAGCCCAGCTGCTCACCCGGACCGTGCCGTAAAGAGCTCCCAGAGCGCCCTCATCCGTAGGGCGAGGGGAAGTGGCCGGAGCCCGGGCGGGGAGGCCTGGCCAGACGCCCACCGAGCGGTCCCGCCGCCGGGCCCCGGCACGGGCGGGAGGGAGGAGCTGATGGTGGGAGGAGCCGTGCCGCGGCCCCGCCTCCCGCCGTCTTCTGCGCTGGAGGTGAGCGAGCGCGGCAGTGCCGGCCGGCAGCGCCGGGGGCGGCAGCTCGGTGCCCTCTCCGGCCTCGGGTGCTCGGCGGGGCGCCGGGCTGCGAGGGGCCGCCCCGCAGGAGCGGTGCCCGTCCCGGTCTGGCCGCGGGCAGAGCGGAGCTTGCCCTGCCCTGCCCTGCCCTGCCCCGCCGTGTGTCCCCGGCTGCGGACGGGCGGGCGGGCGCGGTGTGCCCGGGGACTGCGGCGCGGGCTCTCCGGGTTAGTCTGATTATGTTTTTATTGCTGTCCAGTTCGGCTGCAGGGAGAAGGGCTGGGGGGAAGGCGGGCGGCGCAGGGCGGAGACCGGCGGGGCCCCCGAGCCGGGCTGGGGCAAGTGCTGAGCCGCGCCGGGGGCGGCGGGTCCCTGGTCCCTGTCCCCGCCGGGAGCCCCGCCGGCACCCGGGCCCTGAGGGACCGGCGGAAAGCGTGTCTCGTTCCTGTGCTGTGTATGTGTATGTGCGTGTGTGTGTGTGTCTGTCGGTCTGTCTGTCTTCGTTTTGGGAGGGGGGAGATTTGTCTGTAAACTTCCACGGACTTTTAAGTCTCTTAATTGTGGGGTTGAAGCACTTTAAAGAAAAAGAGCACCCAGCAGCATGTGGGGGAACGGTGGGAGGTGGGTTCCTGCGTGCCTAAGGCGCTGGCCATTTCGGGATTGGACTCTGCTGCAGCTAAACGGGCTTTTCCAGGTGCACGCAGCGATCCCCGTGGAGGTCCGGCTGGGCGCTGGAGGGAGAGCGGGGCTGGACTGGGACTTCTCTGCACAAGAGGCTGGTTTTGCTGAATAGAGCCCGATAGCAGGAAGGTCCTTAATTAGTAAACTTACGTGTTAGTACCATAAAGTGTCTTCTGTAAAATAGCAATCTCTCCAACACCCTGCTTAGGTGATCACAGGTTTTTGGGTTATCCTCTGCCTCCCTCTTTTCTCTTTAATGCTGCCTCTTAAAAGCTAAGCTATGGTACATACTATTACTTTAGGGAAACTTGGTGTTGGTGTTGTTATCTTTCCCTGAGGAAATGTAAATAGACTTGCTTCGTATTACTTCTGAAAGGATATTGCTTAAGGTGAAGAAACAGAGAGCTTGTTCCTTTTATTTTGTTAGAGAGTCGTGTATTTGTGTAGATGATTTGACACTAACATTTGGATAATGTAAGGTGAAGAGGGCTTAGGTCAATGTTAAAACCATAGAAATTCTTCTTAAAATGAACCTAAGGAGAATTGACAGTTCTGAAATTTATGAATGTGTATTGTAGCACCCACTGGACTTTTTTATGTAGCAATGTAAATTTATAGGATGTTTATCTCATGGTTTATTACTGTTGAGATGCTTATAATGAAGTTCATTAAATCGTGTCTCAAAATTCTTCCATCTTCAAAGTGGAGAATACATGTTCTGATGAATGCCTAATGTAGTTGTTACTCTGACTCTTCCAAAACCTATAATAATACTTAATTGGTCACCTCTTTCTCCACCCAAATATTTTTTCCTCTCCATAATCTATTGGGTTTTTTGCTTACAGCCATTTCAAAACTGATTCAGAAAAACCAAAATTTAACACAATTATTCAAATCTCTTTTGCTTTTAAAGATCAGTCTAATAAATAATTTATTGGGTGAAAATAAAACAGGACCGTAAATATGTTCCTCCTAATTATTTTTATTTTACTGCATTACATTCTTTTCTTGATTTTTCCCTTCCTGCAATTAGATAAAACAAGGAGTTGAAAATAATTCTAAGTCTGGGAATCAATCCTTAAGCCATTGCAAGCAACAGGAGGTTTCTTTCTCCAAATTCATTGGGCGATAGTTAAAGGGTGTCTTTCATTATATGTTTGGATATTCTTGATATTGGAAGAATTGAAACGTGTGCCTAAGAATAAGCATTTGGTCACATGTTTTACTCTAATAGGGTGTGTTTGTGGAATGGTGTTGATTTCTCTCTTTCTTGTCTAGCCTGTAGGGAACTAAAAGATTTTTTTCTTTTACTTTTGACACCAGTAGAATGGGCTAGAAACTATAAAAACTGCTTTCTCTGTGGTCATGTAATGTGCTCCATGTGCTGTTGAAAGTGTGCTAACTGATTCTTCCAGTCCTGAACATACTGTACCTAATCAGTGTGTTTATATTCTGTGTAACCAAGGCACGTTAGGTGCGTTAGCATTCTTGGCTACTTTGGAGTAGAAACTGGCAACAACCTTTCCTTGGGCAGCTGGTTACAAGGCACTGCCTCCCCCTTTCCCCCCAGCTCACATTTGGTTTTAAGGGTAGATAAGGGCTGGCACAGCTTCTATGCCCTTTTCAGCACCCTGCACAATACAGTGCTGTGCTAGCAATTGCTGAGAGCCTGCCTAAAGGTTTGTCTTACACAGTGATTGAAGAATGTGTACTTGTTGGTATTGCAGTGTGATTGCTTTTGTTATGTGACCACCTCCTGCGAGGAGGTAACCTGCTTAGTGGATAAGGGAAAGGCTATGGATGTAGGCTACCTGGACTTTACTGAAGCCTTTGGTACTGTCTCCCACAGCATTCTCCTGGAGAAGCTGGCAACCCATGGCTTTTCCAGCTGCCCTCTCTGCTGGTTAAAACTACTGGCTTGATGTCCAGGCTCAGACAGTGGTGGTAAATGGAATTACATCCAGCTGGTGGCTGATCACAAGAGATGTTTCCCAGAGCTCAGTCAATTTTTAAGGTTTTTATTGGTGATCTGGATGAGAGGATTGAGTATACCCTCAGTAAGTTTGCAGGCAACACCAAGTGGGGCAGGAGTTTTGATCGGCTTGAAGGTAGGAAGGTTCTGCAGAGGGATCTGGACAGGCTGGATTGGTGGGCAAGGCAGGGGTATGAGGCTCAACGTGCCATACCAGGTCCTGCACTTGGGTCACAACAGCTCCATTGAGTGCTACAGGCTGGTGCAGAGTGGCTGGAAAGAGGCCCAATGGAAAAGGGCCTGGAGATGCTGGTCAACAACAGCTGAACATGAGCCAGTGTGTGTCTGGGAGGCCAAGAAGGCTCCTGGCATCCTGGTCTGTACCAACAATAGTGTGGCCAGCAAGACCAGGGCAGGGATTGTCCTCCTCTACTCAGCAGTGGTGAGGCCACACCTCAAATCCTGTGCTTGGTTCTGGGCCCCTCACTGCAGGACAGATGTTGAGATGCTGGAGGGTGTCCACAGAAGAGCAGTGGAGCTGGGGAAAGGTCTGGAGCACAAGCCCTGTGAGAAGTGGTTGAGGGAGGTGGGGTTGTTCAGTCTGGAGAAAAGGAGGATCAGGGGAGTGCAAGGGAGGCTGAAAGTAGGATGTAGCTAAGTAGGGGTCATTCTACTCTCCCAGGTAACAATTGGGCAAGAGGAAAAGGCCTTAAGCTGCACTAAGGAAGGTTTAGATAAGGTATTAGGAAAAATTTCTTCATGGGAAGGGTGGTCAGACGTTGGAGAGGAGTGCCCAGGGGAGTAGCTGAATCATCATGCCTGGACACATTCAAAAGATGGGTAGACATGGACCAGTGGTGGACCTGGCACAGTCAGGCTAACAGCTATGACCCTAAGTATCTTTTCCAACCTAAATGATTCTATGATTCTAGTGCTTGTAGTTATGTGATGCCATATTTGAAATTTATATATTGTAGAAGGTAAAAAGCAAACTTCAATGATCAGGCAAAATAAAATGTGCATTTAGGAGTATATTGATGAGCAGTTGGATATGTGTTTTATTGATTAAAACCCCATATTAGATAATAGCAAGCTCTACACAAGTTAACTGCAATGGAATGCTTTTTCAAGTTAAGTCTTTGCTGGCGTAGCAAGTGGGAATTGGGATCATTGTCTTCACGTCTTCTTTGCTGGGCATCCTGCCATGCAGTGCTAGGTACAGTTTTGACCATTCCTTCTCTAAGTGTAATTTGTATTTGAATCAGTTTTGTACTGTCAGTATTTGTAATATTGTCACCACTGATACTCTGAATTTTATTTTCCTCAAATAGATCAAGTATGTAATTTGCTGCAGGTTCCTGTTGTGGTTATGTGGTCACGTGTGTTGTGTTATTCTTCACATTTTTACAGTTCCAAAAGACCTTTTCTCCTCGCACGTGAGCAAGAAACTTGAAGTCCTCCTTCAGTGAACTGGAAATTCCATTTTTTTACGTTCCTTCTTCGTTCTCCAGTAGTGACTGGAAAACCATATCAACCTGTTGCAAGGTACAATTTACAACTATTTATTGCTATTTCCTCCTTTCAGTAAAGCCGGTCTGTTTTATTTGTCATCAGTGAAGCAGGAGGAAGTTGCAAGTGTTGCAAGTGCATTGTTTATTTTCACTGCTGTCTAGATGTGCTTGTGTTTTGTATTTTGAAATATGAAATTTTTAAGTAAGAGTAAGCTCACAATAGTTGCTTCAGAGTGTCACAGCTATGATCTGCATGATAATAAAAAAACTAAGTTACTTGGAAAATTTTTTGTGATGCTGTGCATTTGCATAGTCATAGGATGCTTCTGTCTAGTAAAGCAGGTGCTGGATGATGGCCATTTTATTAACTGTGCTCATTTTTATTGCTGTTTTAGCTCAAGATTCATGTATTTTGTGATTGCGTGCCACCTGGCCCACCTCCTGCTTGGTACCCTCTGTTTTTTTTATGTGATGCTTGTAACTGCAGTATTTTAAATTCTATAGATAGTGATGTACCTTTTAAAATGTCTCTTTAAGATCAGACAACAGACCCTGGAGCTGAGACACAGGAGCTGAAAGATTCATTCAGTGTTGTATAAGAAATGTGTGACTGCAGATCAAGACCCAGTGTTGGTAAGATGATTTTTATTCTCTTCTAAAGGAGACCATTTCACTGTGAATCATGAAACTCATCCTATGAAAAAAAACAAAACTATCAGGCTTCTGGAATCAGGTTCCACTTGGCACCTTTTATCTTTGTGCAAACTTAGAATTTGGCAGTATTTTGGCACGGGAAAATATAAATTGAAAAGTCTATCTCGATGTCCTTTTGTGGAGCTTTTAGTTTATGACCACAATTATATTATGCATTATGAACACAAATACAAAGATCCTTTGATTGCACAAATACTTAAAATCAATATCCTTCCACAATAGAAATCTTGGTGCAATTTGCATTAGTTGACAGTTATTAAGCCTTGTTAACAGCTTCAGAAACTTAGTTAACTGTGCCATTGAACTGGAGAAAACTGCTGCCATTTAAGATTACAGCTTGGTGAACAGTGCAGTTTAATGAGATGTTGCCTTCAGCACCAAAGCTGACTAAAAATGCTACAACTGTTATGGCAGTTTGCCACTTTTTTGGCTGTGGTTGCACAACTGTTGATAAGGCCTTGTGATAATATCGGATCACTGAACGGATCTGAATTAAAAATAGCTTTGCAAGAACAAAAGAAACCAGTGTGAAGGGCAGCTGTCTTTCAACTGGCTCTTTAGCTGGGGCAATTTGCAGGTTCTACCTGCATTTGTGGGGCTGTGCGGTGGGGGAGTGTAAATGGCAGGCGACAGGCCTAAGAGGAGTGGAATTGATAAACTGAGACCTGATAGTTTCTCTTGCTCTTGAGAAGATGACTGAGTGTGTGAAATTGCTGTTGGTGTTCATTTGATCTAGTCAAGAGAGAGGAACTTGTTGCTTGGTTTTAACAGTTTGGTGTTGCCTTGTCCCCGGCCTAAATCTCACTTTCTAGGCCCACTGGCGGTTTTTCCTCTTGTTGCTGCTACTTTGTAGCAAAATTAGCTACTTTTACTACTCTGTAGCAAAGCCCATGGTCAGATTAGTGCATGCCAAGGGAGTGAATGGACTGGATTCTCCTTGCCCTGTGTGCAGAGATTCCCATTCTTTGCTATCTGGGAAAGTAATTTGCTTTCTTTCTCCTGGTGAGTTTGTTTTCACAAGAAGTTCTTGGCCTGAGTACCAGTGTGAATCAGCTAAATGGCAGAGGATACATCCATGTGGCTAGATGATGGCTTAACTACAGGGGAGCTACAGGCCAATCATGTGCCTAGCAAAATTAGGACATAGATCCTCCTGGAAATGTGCTCTGGTGCATAGAAAATAAAGATATGTTTGGTGCCAGCCAACATGGCTTCTGTAAGGGCAAACTGTGCCTGAAAAATTTGATGGGTTTCTATAACAGGGTTATAGAGTTGGTAGTTAGGAGCAGCTGACACTACCTACCTGGACTTACACAAAACATTGACACTGTTCCTTGTCTCTAAACTGAAGAAACATGGATTTGGCAGGTGGACAGCTTGTTGGATAAGGAATTGGCTGGATGATCACACTCAAAGAGTTGGGGTCAATAGCTCAATGTCCAAGTGGAGGGCAGTGGTGAGTGGTGTCCTCAGGGGCTGGTATTGTGAGCAGAGATATTTAACAGCTTTGTTGGTGACAGGGACCATGGGATGGAGTGCACTCTCAGCAGCTGTGCTGAAAACACCAAACTGTGCGGTGTCAATGTGCTGGAGGGCAGGGATGGCATCCAGTGGACTGTGACAGGCTTGAGAGTCTTATGTGGATCTCATGTAGGTCCTGCATGAAGGTTGTGTCAATTCCAAGCACAGATACAGGTTGGGAGAAGAATGGATAAAGAGCAGCCATGTGTAGAAGACTTGGGGTTGCTGGTTGATGAGAGGCTGGACATGGCTGGGCAATGTGCACGTGCAGCCTGGAGACCCAGCCACATCCTGGGCTGCATCCAAAGCAGCGTGGGCAGCAGGGCAGTGGAGGGGGTACTGCCCCTCTGCTCTGCTCTGGTGAGACTCCAGCTGCAGGGCTGCATCCAGCTCTTTGTCCCAGCACAGGAAGGAAATGGACCTGTTGGAGAGAGTCGTGAGGAGGGCCATGAAGATGATGTGGAACAGCTGGAACAACTCTCCTGTGAAGACAGGCTGAGCAAGCTGGGGATGTTCAGCCTGAAAAAGAGAAGGTTCTGGGGAGACCTTAGACCAGCCTTCCAATACCTAAAGGGGGTAGGAGTGTTGGTGAGGGACTCTTGACGAGGTCATTTAGTGATACGACAATGGGGAATGGCTTTAAACTGAAGAGGATAGGTTTAGATTAGATATTACAAATAAATTCTGTACTTTGAGGGTGATGAGACTCGGGAACGGGTTGTTCAGAGAAATAGTGGAAACTTTTTGTCCCTGAAAGTGTTCAAGGCCAGCTTGGATGGGGCATTGAGCAACCTGGTCTGGTGAAGGTGTACCTGGTCTGCCTGTGGCTAGTGGGGCTATAGCTAGATAATGTTTAAGAATGCTTTCGATCCAAACCATTCTACGATTCTGTGATTAATTGTTGGCGGGGTGTGCCCGTCACTCTCCAGGTCTCAGTGTAGCTATTCCCAACAGCAGCAGCTGGGGGAGCAGGGACATACCAGCAGCAGCAGCCTGATGGTAGTCCCAGGTCTGTACTGAGGCTGGCAGCCTGTGCTGGCCTCTGGTCTGTGTCAGCAGCTCTTGCTGACTGGCATGTGTAGAAAAGTTTCCCAGTGCTAGAATGGCATTGCCATTTAGTTATGGAAAATCTTGTGAAGTCTCCTGCCATTAGCCACTGGTCCATGAGAGCCAGTAAATGTTTACTCTTGGATTCATTACAAACTGTTGTTTCTTCCCCAAATCTTTTTTTTTTTTTCAGTTCATGAAGAGGCATAACTGAATGAGATAGCAGATCTCAAACTGTGGTTTTCTCCTTACTAATGGCAGTAACAGGGCCACGGGCTATATGTCAAATGACCTTTAGTTGGTTTTCTGAAGATTTCTGCTGATCTCTTAGTGATTTGGAGGGAAGTTTGTAATCTACTGGCTTACAAAATTTGGGAAATGTGGGCTTTTTGTTTGTCTTTTTCTTACCCAAGTGAACTCAGTTGCTGGTAAAACATTTTAAACACTTGTGAGCCAGAAAATTTGGAAGAAGCCAGTTTTTTATTTGGGTAGTGTAAAAATCCACTGCAGCTACCAGTTCTGTCTATCTCCAATTAGAAGATAATTGAAAATATTTATTTTGGGTCAAAAGAACAGTCTTGATGGCTATGTACCTTCTTTAACCCAATATGTAAAACTGCATTATTAAAAGGGAGTTGAGAAATTTGTGGGGCTCCTATTAGAGCTATACTGAAAATCTTCAAAGTATGATTGAGCTAAATGGTAAGATTCTGGGATATCCTGGTTACTCCTAAGATAATTTTCTGGTGTCTGCAGATGCTCTCTCTTTTTATACCTAATTTAAGTCTTGGTCTTAATGTGTTGTAAGAGCTTTTTGACAGGAGTAATGCAGTGGCCATCGAGGTCATGGCCATGTTGAGTCTGGCAGGGAGCACTACACAGGATCAAAACTATCTCAGACAAGAACACTGAACTTCATTTTCATTAGTGCTGTCTGAGTTAAGTTTTTTCGATCACTGTATTACTTAGTTACTTTAGTGTCAAAATTGACATTCAAAGCTCTGTCAAGGGATGAGTCAGCTGTGTTGTAATCCTTTGTCTTTGGTGTCTCTCTTCCTCTAGGGTTTTACAAATTTGAGAAGACTTGTTACTGATTTGTCTGAACAGACAAATATTTCTGTATGCATAATTCTGGCAAAACACTGCTAAGAAAATATGTAGTCCTATTCAGCCTTTTCTCCCTAGTATGTTGACTGACCATATTGAGAGTGATTTATCTGAGGATGGAGGGGTGAAAATTGCCTTCTAGGCTGTAAGAAAGGTTGCCATGCAGTGTAGTCTTTTGGAGTATGAGTCAAGGTACAGACAGTACTTTTACTGTCTTCATTGTGCAATGCATTATCAGCAGATCCACACCTGCGGGTGCTGATTGGGATCTCTGTATTTCTTTGTGATATGCTTAATGTGAGATTCTTCACTGAGGAGAGAGGATGGTCTGGTGTGGAGATTGCCTCTTACTCAGCTGACCCAGCTCCTGGTCACCAGACTGCAGAGAGATTCAGTGGCGTTTCTATGGTTAAACAAGTTGCCTGCAAAGAAGGAGGCTCATGTGTCTTATCTTGCATGAAGGAGTGCACCCTATGACAAAATTGCGTTCACGGCTTCTGCCAAAACTCATGTCTTTGCTTGAGTTTGAGTGATGTGGAAGTCAGTGTGGTAACTGTATAAGGTATGAGACAGTCATACATGTCTGCATGAAGGCCGGCACACAGAGAAGCCTTTGAGGGACTGGTACTTTAGCTCTTTTCATCTCACTCAACTTTGAGGAAAAGAAACTTTCACATTCCAAGTTGTAATGGAAGCTCCTGAGAGGGAAGAGATTTCCACCAAGTTTAGTCACTTTGTTCAACATGAAAACAAAGGAAGTATTGTGAAGAGCTTTCTGGCTAGAAAACAGTAAATCTTCTCATGGGAGTCCACAGTTTCTGGTTTTGTTTTTAGTACAAACATGATGATGTAACAAAGTCATCTTGTTAAATAATGATACTTGTATGTTTAATGTTATCAGTTTTTGTTTACACTACAAACTTTTTTGCCAGCTATTCATAGATTGCTGTAGTAGGACTCTTAAATACAGCAATGGAAAGAGCATTATTGTGTATTTCTCAAGGGCAATAGAAATCTGAATTGGAAACTTACTTTGCTTAGAGGCTTTGCTGGTCTTTCCACTAGAAATAGTTTTTTCCACTGGGAATGTGGATGAGAAAGGGTCATAGTCTTTCTGATCACATTTCCTGTGATTGTTAGACTTCTGCAGAAATTTGTGGTGCTGCTAGCATATAAGCAGATGTGGTGCTTCTGAGACTACTTTAATCTTCAGGCCTGTCAGGGTGACGATTCTTAGTGCATGC